GGACATGGCGCGCGCTCTGTAGCTCGTGGTGGTCCAGGCCCGGCTGCCTTAACAGCGGACGCACACCGGGGGTCTGCACGACTCCTCTCTGCAGTTCTGCAGCAGACGCTCAACATCCAATGGGGCAGTCGTGGCTTCTCCTTGCCCCACCCTCTTCCCGCGGTTGTCCCTCTCTGTGTCCTGGTCCTGGTCTCCTCTACCCCAGCCTGTTGGGCCAGGGCCCACCCATGCGGCCTGGTCTTAAAGAGACAGAGAGAAACACACACACACACACACACACACACACACAGATCTCCCATCTGCTGGTTCACTCTCCAAATGCCTGCAATGGCCAGGGCTGAGCCAGGCTAAAGCCAGGAGCCCAGAACTCTCCATCTGAGTCCCCAGTGTGGGTGCCAGGGACCCAGGTACTTGAGCCATCACCTGCTGCCTCCCAGGGTGCACATTAGCTGGAATGGGAAACGGGGCTGGGACTCGAACCCAGACACTCCAATGTGGGATGCAGACGTCCTAAGCGGCACCTTGACCGCCGTGCTGAGTGCCCGGCCCCGGGGTGAGCACCCGGGACACGCAGCTGCGCCGCCCCCGGAGGCAGAGCACACAGACGCCCTCCAGGCACCCTCCAGGCTCCGCCCCTCCACACACGTACAGCGCTTACGCGGCCGTGAAAGGGGCTCATACGTTTAAGAACTCCTATCGAATGCTCTCTATCTGCTGGGCACTGCTGAGACTTGGGGTTGCGAGGAAAACAGTTTCCGGACGTCATGGGCAATGCTCCCTTCTCCTCCCCTCTCCTGTTCCCTCCATCCCTCCCCCACCCCGAATCTCCCCCCCCCCCCACTCCCTCCCACGCTCTCTTTCCTTCTTTCTCCTTTTTCTTTTTGGATTTCCATCAGAAATGCTTTCTCTGCGCGATGAGGGGTGGAGGACGGGTGTCGCTGGTGTCTCTCCTCCCCCAGGGCGGCAGGGACGGTCGCCATCTGAGCCGACCCTGGCCTTGAAGCCCATCTCCTTGCTAGGGGTCCCACATGGCACCTGCTTTTGTCGGGCCCATAGCCAGGAAGAAGCCTTACGTTTCCAAACGTCTGGAAAGAAAAAGTCAAAACCACTACAGCACTTGGGAAATCAGGCGAAATCCAAATGCCAGCGTCCCAGAGTAGAGCTGTATGGAAACCCAGCCACGTGCACTCTTGTACGGGCCAAGAGCCCTACGGCCACACACGCTGCAAAGCCTCAGAAGGGGCTGCCTGGGCCTTAGCAGAAGGGCCTGTCACCCCGGATCTCACCTAACTGGAGCAGCTCTGGACCCAACTCACAGCACTGAGGTTCAGAGGCTGAGCAGCCGGCTTAGCGCATCCGGGTGCAATTCAGTAGGGTGGGCGTGGCCCAGGGCCCCGGCCCCATCATTCTGTCTGCTGGCTGTCCGGCACCACGCTGGCCTTCGCCTGGACCCAGCAGGTCAGCCTCAGGGCCTCTGCTCCTGCAGTTCTCTCTGGATCACTCCTCCCCGGCGCACCTGTGAGGCTCACGCCACCCCACAGAGGCTGCAAGGCGAGGTCCCGTCTTCCTGGGCCCCTTCCCTGACAAATGCTCTATCTGCAGCCCTGGCCACCTGCTGACAGCCGGTCTGCTTGTTTGATGTGCTGGCCGGACAGCTCTCCCAAGGGTCAGGAGGGTTCGGGGTGCCTGCTAAGTGCCACGTGAACGGCCTGGCAGGCAGCAGAGCCTGGCGGCAAGTCCGTGTGCAGGGCGTGCGATGGGGAACAGCAGACAGGGACTGCAGAATCCGGGCACCGAGACAAACTTGCCCTTCCACTCCATTTCCCCATGAGCCTGTTGAAGCCCCTTCTTGTGTGTGGGGTGAGTGAGCGAGTGAGCCAGTAGGAGGCTCTGAGGGTCCCTGGAAGGGATGGGTACCTGAGAGGCCAGAGGGCCCCGGGCGCCGGCTTCCACACCGAGACCAGGGGCCCGGCGGCAGCGAGCTAGGGTGCTGGGCCCCCAGCCGGAAGGGAAGCTAGGGCTGGAAACCATGTGCTGGCCCTGCGTCCAGCTCACCTCCACTGGTGACATTCTCCACTCCTGGGGGCATCTGTGAGCTCTTGGAGCTCGGAACAGAGAGGTGGGGACTGACTGCACGGCCCCATTCACACAGGTGTGCAGACGCTGGGGCTCCGGGGAGCCTGCTGGGCGGACGTGGTGCGGCACACACAGGCCTCTGGGTCTGGCCTGTTCAGCACCTGCGGAGGGGATGCAGGAAACTCGGTGAGAGCCCCTGCCCGCCGGCTCTGTGTGCGAGTGTGCATGTGCGTGAACGTGCGTGCATATGATGTGTGCACGAGACTGTGCGTGTGCGTGTGAGTGGCGTGGCGAGGGGAGAGGGAGGCACTAGAACGGGCTGGGGAGGGGAGGCGCTGGCAGAGCGGCTGAGGCAGTGCCTTGGAGGACCCCGGCCGAGAGCCCGGCCACAGCCCCGCACCGATGCTGTTCTCGCAGCGGTAGACAGCTGTCCCTCACTGAACTTGGAGCAAAAGGAGCTGGATGGAGGGGGCTGTCCTAGCTCGGCGCTCTCTTCCTGATGGAAGCAGTGAGGAGGCCCAAAGGCCTGGACCAGCCAAGGGGCCTGAGTGCCGCCTGTGAGGAGGGGGAGTCACCCTGGGCGGGAGCTGCCCCCTGCCCCGGGCATCCCCCAGCCGGCGACTTGCTGACTCAAGGCTGGGTGCTGTGGGCCGTCTCACTTGGGAGCTCACCCGGATCCTCCGAGGTTGCACGTGCAAATCTGGGCTTGCCCTTGACCCCAGCTCTCCTCATGTGTCCTGGTGAGCTGGGCACCTGCTCCCGTTCTGCTGTGCCCCATCCCCACCCCCCAGCCCCTGGAGGTGTGGAGCAGAAGGGAGGGACCTCCTGGAAGTGGAGTCTGGTGGGGCACTGGGTGAGGCTGCTCGAAGCCCAGGGAGCTGGAGCAGCCTGGTCCCCAGCGATGGGCTTCGTGTGAATTGGTTCATGGACACTTGGCCCAGGGCCAGCCTCGTGGCATGGGGCAGGTGGCCTGCTGTCTTCCGCCACGTTCTCACTCTATAACAGAACACCGAAGAGGGAGCGATTCATGGTTCTGGCCCACAGCTCTGAAGGCTGGCAGGTCCAAGCGCTCGGCACCGGTGGTGACAGAGAGAGGGGACAGAGGGGGCTGGAAGCTCCCTAACACCGGGACCCACCCTCCTCTCCAAGGCCCCATCCCCTCCCAACATCGATCCAACCACAGCCAAAATGACCTGCTGCCACCCTGGCCCTGGGCTCCTGTCACCAGCATGAGGGTGACCAAGGGGACCCCAGCTGCCATCCCAGAGAGTGGTCAGATCAGTGGCAGTGGCCGCCTCAGTTGGCCACAGCCCTTGATGGCTTCTGCCATTACTATTTTGGTGGCCGAAAGTGCCCGGCCATCCCATCCCCTCATGAGCTGGACCCTGGGAGTGAGTGGGAGGCAGGGAGGGGGGGAGCGGGGCAGGGCAGGAGGGGCAGGAGGGGCAGGGGAGGAAGGTGCTTCCGGGTCCAAGCCAGAGGAAGCAGCCTGGGCCCAGCCAGCAGGTGGACGCAGCTCCCATGCAGGGGTGGGCAGGAGGCGAGGGATTAGGCCTGACCCAGGGTCGGGGGAGGCTGGGCTCTGTTGGAAGTGAGGCCCCCCAGGGGCTGCTGTCCAAGCACACACAGGGTGCTGGTGTCAGGCAAATGCAAACACCCAGCTGTGGCAGGGGTTTGTCTCCCCGCCCCCCCCAGCAGGGGAGGGGGCCTGTGCTCACCCCCCCCCCCCGCAGTGACAACACTGAGCACTGCCAAAGCAAACCCGGTGGGGGAGGGGGCGGGGACTTCAGGACCCTGGCCCTTGCTCTGGGCGTGCTCAGACCCCGCAGAGGGCAGATTCCTGGGGCTGAGCTGCCAACGCCAATGCCTGCGGAGCGCAGAGATGAAAGTCGCCGGCACACAGAGGTTCACTTGGCATCCTGGGCTGTTTGTCCCAGCCCTGCGCGTGCAGGGACCCACCCCAGGCCCACTGCTTCCTGGGGCTGCCAGGGGGGCCGGGGGAGGGCAGCGGCCCTTGGATCCCTCCCGTCACCAGCTCTGGGCCAAGGCCTTCATCAAGTCAATCCTCCCTACTGGCACGTGAGTGGCTCGGAGCTGGGGACTGTCCCATCTCTGTGTCCCAGAGCCAGCACTCTGCCTGAGATGGACGAGGGCCCAGCAAATACACGCGCAGTGAACAAACAGCCCATTAAGTGCTCTGGAAGGAGTCTCTTGGGCAGCCAGAGGTGGTTTGATAAGCAGAGAGCAGAGCAAGTTCAAGTTTAGTGCAGACTTGGGGAGCTGTTTCTGCCTCCCTCGGCCTGTTTTCCCAGGTGTGGAGCGTGTGTCTCGGGGGCTGCTGGGGGATTTTGTGTCTCGGCCCGAGCAGGCGCTCCTAAAACAGATGCTGGCGTCTCTGTCCCTGATCCTCACCTTTGGCCTGTGGTCATTTGCTGTTCCCTGTGAATTTCTGGGTTCCTCAGAGATCAGTGGAGTGAGGGGCCGGGGAGCCAAGCCCTGGCGCCCCTGGCCGCCCACCCCCGGCACCCTCAGCCCAGACCTGCTTGGGAAACCAGCTCCAGGTGGGGACACGCAGGGCAGGGCCGTCCCAGAGCCTGGAGCCTACCGAATCGCTGGTTGGCTGTCTCTGGGTAATCTGGGCTATAAAGTCCTTGGGTGGATCCCGCCCCGTAGGGCTCTCTGAGAGGCGGGTTATGGCTGCCGAGCTGTCCCACGTGGCGGGAGAATTCCAGGCCTCTGGGGGCTGCTCCCCTCACTTCCCCACAAAGCAAACAACGCCTCGTGTTCTCCCCCTGGCCCAGGACCCAGCAGTCAGGGTAAAAGGTTGCCTCCAGTTGGCTGCCTTTCAGCCGTATCATGCTGTGGCAGCAACTTGACTTCAAACCACCCCATTTCAAAGAACTTTAAATGAGCCGCTGAAGGCGCCACTGCAGCCCAGAGCAGGCCGGCCGAGGCGGCGCAGGTGCACGGGCCGCCACCATGCCCACCGTGGACGATGTTCTGGAGCAGGTCGGGGAGTTCGGCTGGTTCCAGAAGCGAACCTTCCTCTTCCTATGTCTGATCTCGGCCATCCTAGCCCCCATCTACCTGGGCATCGTCTTCCTGGGCTTCACCCCTGACCACCGCTGCCGGAGCCCTGGCGTGGACGAGCTGAGCCAGCGCTGTGGCTGGAGCCCCGAGGAGGAGCTGAACTACACGGTGCCGGGCCTGGGCGCCACTGACGGGGCCTTCGTCCGCCAGTGCATGCGCTACGAGGTGGACTGGAACCAGAGCTCCCTGGGCTGTGTGGACCCGCTGGCCAGCCTGGCCCCCAACAGGAGCCACCTGCCGCTGGGCCCCTGTCAGCACGGCTGGGTGTATGACACGCCCGGCTCCTCCATCGTCACCGAGGTAGGAGCCGCCTCTGCCTTCCTGGCATTGGGGTGGGGGCTTCAGGGGCAGGGAGGCACAGGAAGCAAGTCCTGTGTGGTTCAGTCCCTCACTCACCAGGGAAGAGGGAGGGGTCCTGCGTCGTGGGCACCGGGACAGGCGCTGGCCTCTGTCTGCTCTTGTCGACCTCCACGCTCCACAAACTCCAGGTGTGAGAGGAGGAAGCCCAGGCTGAGAGAGGCCGGCAGGAGCAGGTGCAGGGAATTGTTTGGATTCGCATCTACCGAGAGCCCAGTGGCCCTTCCTCCTGCCCCGCCGGCTTCTCCCAAAACCTGCAGAACTCCTGTGCAGCCCCCACCTCCACTCGAGAGTGGTGACGAGGGACCTAAACGCAGGCTGCTGAGGTGGTGTGGCAGTGCTGTGGCTCTGGGGGCAGCCGCGCCCCTGCCTCGCTGAGCCTTCAGTACACAGCCTGCGCCCTAGGGTCGTGAGGTCCAGCTGAGGGCTGGGGAAGCCCTGCCCAGATACCAACAGGGCGCCTGGATTTCCCCCCTCGAGCCCTGTGGCAGGTGCAGGCGTTCGGCCACTTGTAGTCACCTGGCGAAGCCGTGGGCTGAGGCCCTGTGAGAAACAGCGCAGCTTCTGCGAGGATACCGCTGGTCTTCGCAGCTGCCCAACTCACGCTCAGGGGCGTCTGGTGGCTCCTCTCCCACCTCCTCCGCTTTGCCCAGGAGGGTCAGGGCTGTGGCTGGAGGGAGCCAGGGCCCTCTCTCCCTCCCGGCCTAACCCCCACTCCATCTGCCGGCCCGGTGCTGTGTGTGTGGAATGGACGCCTGATCTCCACGGCTCCTCCGATGATGGAGAACGGAGTCGGTGACTCCCGTGCCGGGGTTCTCAGCTTGACTCCGACGTGCCTGCTGGGGCGCAGAGGCAGAGTGAGGTGGGGTGATGGGGACGTGCCCACGGCTCATTCCCTGGGGGGAGACCTCTGCCTGCACAGCTCTCGTGGGACTGGAGGAAGAAACAAGGCTCCTGACGCAGCTCCTGCCTGGCTGGGGAGGGGGATGGGCAAATGGAGACGCTGAGCGTGGTGGGAGTGGGGGCAGGAGGCAGAGGTGGTGACCTCGGGGTCTGCAAGGAGGGGCAGTCACAGGAGGACAGAAAAGGGTGGCGGAAGGGGTTGGCTTCCTGTGGCCTTGAAAGCAGGGACTTCGGACGGCCCCCAGCCAGGCGTTGGGAGGACCGGGAGCTGGGAGCTGCTCCCAGGTCCCTTTGGTGCTAGGCTGGGTCGCAGGGGGTGGCATCCGTTTTGGGAGGTTCCAGGTGACCTGGGCGCGGACTCCCACTGTGGCTCTCTGTTGCTTTGAACCCGCGCTTGCCCCACCCCTTATCCTCAACGGGAGATTACTGCTAGGGAATTAGCCATAGCTATTCATTCCTACAGAACTAATTTTTAACCTAGCCTGGCCTTGGACGTTGGAACTTGTGGGAACACCAAGGGAATGAATTTGTTTGAACCCCAGTGTGGCTCCTAGCCCGGGGGGGGGGGCGGGGAGGAGCGTGGACATTCCGTGGCTTCTGAGTGCCCTCCCCCAGCCACGGCCCCGCAGGGCAGGGAGCCACGGGCCTCCAGCAGCCCTGGGCATGGAGGGGAGAAAAGCCGAGGCTGCGGTGTGAGGGAGGCGGTTCTGTCGTGGGCTCCCCGACCTGCCTGCACGAGCCCTGCCCCCGACTCTGCATTTAACAAGGATCCTGGGGGCTGCTGTGGTGCCCAGGTGGGGGGCACAGCCCTGCTGCTGCCTCCCCAGGCGAAATCACAGCTAAGGAACCCTCTCTACCCCTGCCTCTGTGCAGCCTCGGCTCCCTGCCCGTCAGTCTTTGAAGTGTGCACAGACTTGCGGGGTGCCGTGGCTGGGGACAGGCTGGGTTCGGGTTTGGGAGTGGAGGAGGCACGGCCAGTTTGCACGCCTGGCCGGGGGCTATGGCTGGGGAGCCTGGGCAGCTGAGGGGCCGCCTCCCGCCAGGGAGTTCCTACTCCATGCACCGACCCAGGGCAAGGAGGTCGGAACGCCTGGCAGGGACCCCGCCTTGCACAGATCAGAATGAAAACCGAGAAAGAACAAAGTGGGGCTGGTGAGGCAGAGGGAGGGGCTGGCTTTGAATGAAGCCCTGAGTTCCCCCCAGCCAGAGGGGACGCTGGGGCCTGGGGGTGACAGTGCCATGAATCCCTCCCAACCTGAGGACCTCAGTGGAATCCAGGACATCCAGGACATCACTGTGGGCCACGTGGAGGGAGACACAGACGTGGGGCGGCCAGATAACACCCAGGAATGCTTTGGGTGCTCATGGGAAACTGGGTTTTAGGCTGAAATTTTTTGAAAAAATTTGTTTATTATATTTGAAAGGCAGAGAGAGAGAGAGAGAGAGAGAGATCTTCCATCTGCTAGTTCACCCCCCATGGCTGCAATGACTAGGGCTGGGCCAGGCTAAAGCCAGGAGCCTGGAGCATGGGTGTGCGGGCCCAAGCACTTGGGCCATCTTCCACTGCTTTGCTAGGTGCGTTAGCAGAGAGCTGGATCAGAAGTGGAGCAGCTGGGATTATAATGTGGGCCCAAGCAGGATATGAGGTGAAATGGCACTGGGACTTGGGGAAGGAATGAGAGAGCTAGGCGGACAGGGGCTCCTCCTCCTGCACCCCCCACCCTGCATCACCGCAGTTAAAGGAGGTGGGGTGCAGGAAAGCCAGCTGGGAACATGGACTTCTGCCTAAATTTTAGGCCGTAAAGAGCCTGTAGGAAGGAACTGAGCAGCCAGTGAGCAGACCCAGCCTCGCTGGGTCCAGAGTCCTCGAGGCTCCCAATGTCTGCGCCCAGGGCTGGGACAGGCACGGCCAAACTGGCAGCAAGATCTGAGCCAGGGCGGAGGGGACATACAGCCTCAGGGCTCCGAACCCAACGGCCTGTCCTTTACCAACAGGGCTTCACGCCACCGTCCCCTTCCATCCCACAGCTGCCCTGTGGTATAACCTCACAGGGGCTGTACCCATGGCTCAGACCGGGAAACTGAGGCCCAGCGTCACACTCGACGGTGTCCGTGTGGTCAGGTGGAGCCACGGGTCCTCAGGAAACAGAGCAGTGCAGCGGCAGGAGGGAGGGAAGAGGAGGAAGGGCTGAGCCAGAGACAGGGAGGGGGAGAGGCCCTGCCGCAGCCGGCCTCCTTCTCCTTCTCCCCCGGGAGCCCGCCTTCCTGCCTCCCAGCTCTAGAGTGGACACGGTCGGCCCAGCTGCTGATGCGTGTGGGTGTGGGCCGCTGTCACTGCGCTTTGGGCCAGGGCGGGGCCTTCCTCCCCAGGTTGTCTTCCTCAAAGGCCTCCAAACACACACGTGCGTCTGCTCCTGCTCAGCCCCAAGCAACACCAGCCTTTGCAGTCCCTGCTTCCGCCTTTTCCTCCATGCCCCCTTTGGGGGGGACCCCCTAGTCCCTCCCGGCCTCTCAGTTCCCCCTCCCCACTGCGATGTTGGAGCCCCAACTGCCCCCAAGATGACCACATTGTCTTGCCTGTGTCTTTTTTTCTTAATTAATTTTTTTTCATCTTATTTGAAAGAGAGAGAGAGAGAGAGAGATCCCTCTCCCATCTGCTCGTTCACTTCCCCAAATGCCCTTAACATGCAGGGCCGGGCCAGGCCACCAGGAGCCTGCAGCCCATACTCCACCAGGTTTCCACCAGGTGGGAAACATCCTCACCTCTCTCTGATTCACCCAGACTCAGCAAGGGCAGTCAATGTGAGACTTTATTGAAGGTCTTGCAAGACTGGGTGCCTGAGGAGCAGGCACAGCGAGAGACCTGTCCCCACCCAGATCCTCACTGGCTGAGTACTGTGGGATCCTCAGTCTTCCAAAGTCGCCAAGTTACAAAGTCTCCTCCAATTTCCTCCCCAGACTTGGCTGCTCCCAAGCACCCTGCTTGCCCAGGGAGTTTTGCTGCATCTGCAAGTGGGCTAGCAGTCGTTTTCCATTCTGCATTGGAAATAGACCCCAGACATTTTCTTACACTCCAGCCCCGGAGGCTGGACCCCCAGCTACCAGCTGCTGCCTGCCAGGGTGTGTATTAGCAGGAAGCTGGGATGGCAAGCAGAGGTGGGGCTCAAACCCAGGCCCTCTGACTGGGCTGTGGGCGTCCCAAGCAGCGTCCTAAGGGCTGAGCTGAACGCCTGTGGCTCCCTCCTGTCGGGTTGCCATTCACGGCCCCACAGCCTACACTAGAAAGCCCTTAGTTACTGGTGGAGTGTATTTAACTCAGCACACACGTAACTAACGAAGGATCTTTGGGCAATGCCAGAAGGCGTCTCTTTTGCTTCAGTTCTGTTTGGGGGACATTGCTCCGTCTGCTGTGTCTCCTTCTTTGTTGCCCTGTCCTTGACCTAGGTGACTGTGAATGGCAAAGCATGTGACAGGGGTTGTTCTAGTTACTCTCCGGTGAGAGCAGCGCCAAGGTGTTGGGAGCACACCAATGCTTACTGAGAAAGTCCCCAGAAACCCTGAATGTGTCTCAAGAGAACGTGTGGGAGGGGACCAGCCGCAGCCCGGGCACCCAGTGTTGGGCAGCGGGTTGAGTTTGCTCTGTCTGGAGACGGGGAGGGAAGCAAGCGGTCTTGATTCATACCTGGTCCTGTGTTCTGGTCCCTCCCGGTGTGCGAACGCCGTGTGGCCGCAGTTCAACCTGGTGTGCGCTGACGCCTGGAAGGTGGACCTGTTCCAGTCCTGCGTGAACCTGGGCTTCTTCCTCGGCTCCCTGGGTGTCGGCTACATCGCAGACAGGTACGCGGGAGCCGTGGCCTGGGGGAGCCCCGACCGGGTGGGATCTGTCTCGGAGCCACGGTCGCTGGTGCTGTAAGCACAGTGCACAGAGGTGCAGCAATGCGCGGAGGAGCTGACACAGAGGGCGAGGGCGGGGTCAGGGGTGGGGCAGAGCGAAAGGGGCCAAGGCCAAGGTCACAGGTGAAGCGAGGGGTGGGAGTGGGGCCCTCGCCACGCGGGAGAGAGTGAGCAGGGGTAGAATTTGCTGCAGCTGTTTGTCAGAGATGCTGCTGTAGAGGAAGTGGGGTTCTGTGTTAGATGCACCAGGCGGAGGGGGCCTCGCCGTGGCCTGTGCCACAGCCAGGAGATGTGGCAGGCGGGGAGGGGGTCTGGGAGAGGAGCTCAGAGCAGAGCTGTGCGCTAGGGCCTGTCCCCACTGTGGTGTTCACAGCTATAAAACACTTGGCATGGGTGGGGAGAGAAGAGGTGGCAGAGGTGGGGAGGCCAGGTGTTAGGACCAAGGGACCTTGGAGGACATGGCCTTGCAAGAGAGGACACAAACTCTCCCAGGAGCCCAGGGTCCCTGCAGTGCCACTCAGGGCAGGGATCCCACGGCGCCCTCAGAGCAGGGATCCCATGACACCCTCAGGGCAGGGATCCCACAGCGCCCCCTAGAGCAGGGATCCCATGGTACCCTCAGAGCAGGGATCCCATGGCGCCCCCAGGGCATGGATCCCACAGCGCCCTCAGATCAGAGGCTTTATGTTGGCAGCCTTTGTGTCGCCCGTGGACTGACCCTGGAAGGAAAGACAGGACATTGCTGTGGGCCCTGTCCCTGGGCCAGCAGGAGTGACAGGAAGGCGACGTAGGTGACAACAGTGGCTCTGAGGGCAGCTGTGAGTGTCTTTCTTGGGCAGAGAGGCTGAGTTGCTGGAGTGACTAGGTTTTGCCTTCAGAGCCTGGAATTAAACTCAGGACAGCACAGCGGTGTGGGGACAGAGGTCAGACCGTGTGCGCTGTGGGGCTCCCAGCGGGGACCCTGCCATGGCCTTGCGTGCCTGATTCTCCTCCCCACCTCCGCGACCTTGTCTCCGCAGGTTTGGCCGCAAGCTGTGTCTGCTGCTGACCACCCTGATCAACGCGGTGTCGGGGGTGCTCACGGCCGTGGCGCCGGACTACACGTCCATGCTGCTCTTCCGCCTGCTGCAGGGCCTGGTCAGCAAGGGCAGCTGGATGTCCGGCTACACCCTGAGTAATTAATAACGCAGGGCGGAGCCTTGCTCCCTGTGCCGAGGCAGTGGGCAGGTGGCCGCAGGATGCCGGGGAGCCGATGTCGGCGTCGGGGCCACTGGGCCTCTCGGGTTCACAGTGGGTCACCTGCAGGACGAGGGCTGAGCTGGGCTGGGCGTGGCAGTGGGGGAGGGGCGCAGGGAGGGGGCACAGGTGCAGAGTTTCAGTATAGCACGGGCAGCTCTGCAAACTCGGAGCTGCCGTTCAGGAGCCAGGGCAGAGGTGCCCAGAGGCAAGATCAGGATTTAAAAACTGCTGTGAACCCAGGTGAGGAGCTGCTCACGTTAGCGAACGTTCGAGAAGAGTTCAGACTGGAGGATAAAGGGAGCCCTCCCCGGGCGTTCCCGAGCCCACGGCCGGGGCCCATCACAGGGCGGTGGGGGTGACCCCCGGGTTTGCTGCTCATCTGTGGAGCGGCCGGACAGCCAGCCCTGTCGCCTCTGGCAAGCTTGGGGCCCTTGGCATTTGGAGAAACGTGGCTGTGGCAGTCACTGCGTGTGTGGGCGTGGCTGCGAGGGTAAAGGCATTGCTGGGGGTCTTGGGTGGGCTTGGTCAGAGCCACGCCTGCCCTTCCTGCCTCCCAGGGCGGCCTGAAGACAGAGCCGCAGGAGGCCCCCTTTGTGGCCCCCTCTCCCGACCCCCTCTGTCCTGCCTCCCTCAGGGCTGTGTCCCCTCCTCCCAGCTGTCCCCACTGCAGAGCCCCAGGAGGAGCCCAGCACCCACCTCCCAGCGCAGGCCCAGCCCCTCGAAGGGGGCGCCACCCCCACTTCCTGCTCCCCACCGCCAGCCTCTCTCTGCCTCTCACCCAGTCCAGGGCTGCTTTGTCTCTCATCAGTTCTCACCACAAAGCCCTCCAGGGCCCCCAGGCTCCTCCCCTCTCACCACAGACGGGGGAGGGGCGTCCCTCCAGTACCACAAAGCCCTCCAGGGCCCCCCAGGCTCCTCCCCTTTACCCTGCGACCTCAGCCCCCTGGGCCGCCTTTTCCATCAGCCTGGTCTCCGAGCCCCTCCCTGCTGCTGCAGCTCCCACGCACTCTGCGTCCTCAAGCCAGGGCCTCTGTGTCTCCCCACCCCAGGGGCCCCCTGTAAGGCTGCCAGCCTGTACCCCCACGCCCCCAGCTCTCTTTGCACAGAGCACACAGCCCACACGTGTGCCACACGCCCGCTGCGCCTTCCCAGAGAAGCTGGGCCCCCAGCAGGGCTCCAGCTCTGAGGCACAGGGCGGGGGGGGGGGGTACGCGGAGGGGGGCTCCCACGAGCAGCGCCAGGCCCCTGGGAGGCCCCCAAAGGTATTTGCTAAGTTCATGAACCCGGCTGGGGTCCTGGAGGCAGGCCAGGCGGAGAGAGACATGGGGCGGCAGAAAGACCAGGGGGCCCAGCGGCCGGAGAGGGGGGCTTCCTCCGCCTGGGGTGGGAGCAAGAGGGGAGCCTTAGAGGAGCGGGGCTGGGGGCGGGGGCAGCGCCGAGGCTGTGGCTCCTGGAGTGGACAGGACCGGACCTCGGCTTCCCACGCCGGCCCCATGCTGACCACCTCTCTTTCCCAGTCACAGAGTTCGTGGGCTCAGGCTACAGGAGGACGGTGGCCATCCTGTACCAGGTGGCCTTCTCTGTGGGGCTGGTGGCCCTCTCGGGCGTCGCCTACGCCATCCCGAACTGGCGCTGGCTGCAGCTCACTGTGTCCCTGCCCACCTTCCTCTGCCTCTTCTACTACTGGTAACGCCATGCCTGCCTTGTCGCTGTGTCCTTGCCCTCTGCCGCGGCCCCCTGCCCCCAGCTCTGTCTTCTTTGAAAGATTTATTTAGTTCGTTGAAAGAGTGGCACACAGAGAGAGGGAGACAGAGAGGTCTTCCATCTGCTGATTTCATGTCCCTAATGGCTGGGGCTGAAGCCAGGAGCCAGGAGCTTCTTCCAGGTCCCCCAGGGAGTGCAGAGCCCAAGCACTTGGGTCAGCCTCGGCTGCTTTCCCAGGAGCGTCAGCAGGGCCTGGAACCGGCGCCCACATGGGATGCTGCGGCTTAATCTGCTGCGCCACCATCCCGACCCCTGGGCGCAGTCTCCATGGTCGGGGTGTGACCTGTGCTTCAGGGAACTTAGCTTGTCACGCCCTTGCCCCATCTGAACCGACAACCTTAAGTGAAAGGGCAGACGCGCCCTCTGGCTCGGTGGAGACAGAACTGGGCAACAGCCCTTGTATTACCTGGAGGCCCGGGGTAGTGCAGGGGGCAGGGCACGGGGCGTCTCTCCCCGGGGGGCATCCACTGCCAGCTTCCAGGGGAGACAGGGCCCCTGCTCCTCTGAGAGGGCTATAGGGGAAGCCAGGGTCTCATCTTGGTTTGTAAATCCAGGCAGGTGGCCCCCAGGGGTGGGAGGGATGACCCACAAAGCTCCTGTATGGTCTGCCCTGACCAAGCGTGCCCTGACTCCAGCCCCTGGCTGCTTGGGAAATTTCAGTCCCAGTGTGAAGCGAGGAGGGCGGCTCTGGGACACCCCCCCCCCGACCCCCTCCCCCGCAGGGCTAGGAGTTCCAGGGAGAGCGCCCCCTAGTGGTGAGCTGTGTCCGCAGGTGTGTGCCGGAGTCCCCTCGATGGCTGTTGTCGCAGAAGAGAAACACGGACGCCGTTAAGATCATGGACAACATCGCTCAGAAGAATGGGAAGCTGCCTCCCGCTGACCTCAAGGTGACAGAGCCAAGAATGCACACCCGGGGGTCTGGGCTCGGGTCTCGGAGCCTCTGGGCCGCCCGGGCGGGGGGCGCCTGCCCGTGCAGCTGGGGTGTGGCTGACGCCCGGCTTCCTGGCAGATGCTCTCCCTCGACGAGGACGTCACGGAGAAGCTGAGCCCATCGCTGGCAGACCTGTTCCGCACGCCCAACCTCAGGAAGCACACCTTCATCCTCATGTTCCTATGGTGAGGGCCGGTGCCTGCTGCCCACGCGCTCGGGGGCAGAGGGGCGGTGAAGAGGAGGTGGGAAAAACTGTCCTCTCTTTATCCAAAGAGACAGATGATAGAGCGAGCTGGCTATCTGGACACACACACACACACACCCCTCCCAATACGCTGAAGCCAGGAGCCTGGGACTCCATCCATGGGGGTGTCAGTGCCCAAGTCCTCGAGCCGTCTCCACTGCCTCCCAGGGTGTGCATCAGCCGGAAGCTGGACAGGAAGCAGACGGGGACTGCGACCCAGGCGCTTGACAGGGGTGCACGTGTCGTAGCCATGGTGTCCAGTGCCTGTCCCCAGAATTTCAAGGCCATTGTTGAGGGGCCAGAGGGCTCTTCAAAGCCCTTATTTCTCGCCTGAGGACTGGATGGAAGGGAAAGGCCTCATGGGGCAGGGACTTGCACCCAGGGGCGGTCAGGGCTAAGCCGGGTGGGGTGTGACCAGGGCGGCCGAGGCGGCCCCAGTTCCACGCAGTCTCATGTCCTGGGAATGGCCCAGGCCCCTCCTAACGTGGGGACGTGGGAGAGATGGCGGCGTCTCCTGGTGCTTGTGGGGCCATGGTCCCTTCCTCACACCGCACAGGGCTGGCCAGCCCTCTGAGAGTGTGCAGGCGTGAGCTGCTGGCTGGACACTCACACACGCCCAGGCCCAGGCCCTGCACGCTCCGAGACGCCAGCCCCTCATCCGTTCCCTTACAGGACACCCCGCCCACGCCTCCACAGTCAGTGACTCTTAAATCGCCCGCCCAGTGCCTGCCCCTCTAGCCACCCTGCCTCCGTGTCGCCCCTGGGGTCCTGTGCCGGGCCACGCAAGTGCCCATGGCAAGTCCCACGGCTCCATATGGAACGTGTGTGGCGAGCTCGCTGGCCGTCAGCACGTGCACTCGGCACTCGCACTCGGCTGCCGCAGCCTCCCGTGCCGTGTGCCAGCACCGGCTCCTGCCAGCCCTTCCTGCCGTGGGCTGTGCTCTGTTCCCCGTGGTGACAGCAGCAGTGCGAGCACCGTCTCCCGACTGTGCTGGGGTAGCCTGTCCCAGGACACGCAACCGTGTCCAGTGTGGGTCCAGGAAGGGCAGGTTCCTCTCCGTCCTCTACACAGGGACCTGCACTTCCAGCGTCTGCCACAAGGTGGTAGCTTTGCACGTTTGTGAACGGGAGTGTTGGCTGCCCACCCCTTTGCCTTAAATCGGCCTCTTTATCCCTGGCTGAACGGCCTGAGGAGGGGCGCAGGCTTCATCTAAGCCAAGTGGCAGGCGGGCGTCTCCCTCCTGGTTCTCTTGGCACTTGTGTCCAGTCAGAGGCAGCCGGGGGCCAGACACAAAGCCTCCCCGGCTCCCAGGCGCAGGTGCTCGGAGGCGCGTCCACTGGCGACCCGGCTAGAGCTCGGCTTTGGGGCTGGTGCACAGCTTGCAGGCTGGCCTGGGGTGGTCGTTTCTCAGGCTCTCACTAAGCAGGCGCCCACAGGATGGCGGGATGCTCCCAGCTCCCCACGCGGCCCCCAGGAGTGGGATCCCCAGCGCTGCTGTGTTTCCCTCCGGTGTGGGCGGAGGGGTTGTGCAGGGGATGGGAGGGTGAGTGATGGGGTGGGGGCAAGACGGAGCCGTGTGGCGGAGGGGGCGGCGTGGGCAGTGCCTGCTCTGCTGTGCCCTGGCTCCCTGACCTTGGGACGATGAGGACAGGAGCCTCCCTGTGTGTGCCCCGTGTGCCTGGAGCTGGAACGGGCACGTTTGTTGACTCAGTGACGTTCTCGACAAGCCAGCATGGTGGGTGCTGGGACGAGCCCGTCTGCAGGCGAGAGAGCTGAGGCCCCGAGGGGTGGGTGAACATTCTAAATGACGCAGTTCTCCCAGCTGGCGTGGGTTCCTCCTCCTCCCCACGGGGCTGGCCCGTGACGGGGACTCTCCCCTTGGCTCAGGTTCACCTGCTCCGTGCTCTACCAAGGCCTCATCTTGCACATGGGGGCCACTGGCGGGAACGTGTACCTGGATTTCTTCTACTCCTCTCTGGTGGAATTCCCCGCAGCCTTCGTCATCCTGGTCACCATCGACCGCGTCGGCCGCATCTATCCCATGGCCGCGTCCAATCTGGCGGCGGGGGTGGCCTCCGTCATCCTGATCTTCGTCCCCCAAGGTGAGTGGCTCGCTCGGGGGCTGGCACTGTGGGCGCTGTGCGGAGACCCTCAGACAGGTCGTGCCCGTCCCCCAGATGCGTTCTTCTTAGGCTTTCCATGGGGCTGTAACACGTGGGGGGCACTTCTGAGTGCTCAGTGGATGTCACATAGACGGAGGCAGGGGCGCAGGCCCCCGGGTAAGACGGCACCTGCAGCCCCTAGGTGGCGCTCTCGTGCCCTTCCCACTGTTCTGCTGTTCAACTCCCCAGCGCAGAACCAAACCCCACAGCCTTTGTGTCTCCTGCCCCTCCGTCATCCTCCGGCTGTGAGACTTGCCCGCCTGGTCACCAGCACTCCTTCTGCCTCTTAGTATTTTCCTGTAGCATCCCATCGTTTGAATAACGCACTGTGGGCCCATTCCGTGGCTGACTGTCATATATGTGACTTCTTTTTTTAAATTATTTATTTGAAAGGCAGACAGAGGGAGAGATAGGTGGTGGGGGAGGGCAATCCTTTATTTTCTGGTTCACTCCCCAAATGGTTGTTACAACCAGGGTTTTGCCAGGCTGAAGCCAGGAGCCAGGAGCTCCATCCGGGACTTCCACGTTGGTGGCAGGGGCCCAAGCCCTTGGGCCATCTTCCGCTGCTTTCCCAGGTGCATTAGCAGGGAGCTGGACCAGAGGCAGAGCAGCCAGGACTTGAAGGGGCATTCTGATAGGGGATGCTGGCGTTGCAAAGGCAACTTAAGCCACTGTGCCACAGCACCGGCTGTGTCACTTGTGTCCCTTCCAACATTTGTCTGCTGTACTAGTGCTGTGGTGAGCACTGTCGTGCGTGGGTACAAGCCCTCGTTTTCCTGGGGTGTGTGTCTCTGATCACTGCTGGGCTGGAGGGGAGACGTGGGCTTAGCCTGGCAGGCACGGCCCAACAGCTGTCCATAGCGCTGGGGCATGAGTGTGCGCCACCCCCCGCCCCCTCGCTGACACCTGACGCCACTCTGGTGGACACGAGCTTCAGACGGTGACTCTGACAACCCGAGGGAACGCGTGATACACGTACAGCCTCGTTGGAGTCCCTGTTCCGCTGGCTGCTCTGGGAAATGTTTCAGATTCGCGCTTCTCCCGTTTCCCCGCTGGGTGCTGCACCTGTGGGTTTTAACGAGTCCTCTTGGCGGGCGTCTGGGCCGCCTACCGTGGAAAATGTCCCGAGAAATCCGTGTTCTCCTGAACCAGGCTGGGAGTACAGCTGGCAAAGCCCAGAGCTCAGTGTCCGTCTGCCTCCTTTTGTGGGGGGCCCAGGGGCTCTGGAACGGGTTCTCCCGTCCTTGGCCACATCCACACCTTTCTGGGCCCTGGGGGAGATGGAGTGGAGCGGGTGGGGTGTTGAGAAGTGACAGCGCTGAGTGCTGAGAAGGGAGGTGATCCAGGGTGAGCCCACGGTCCTGGCCTGGGCACAAGGCAGGCTTTGCCCCTTCCAGAATCTTCCTCCCGGCTCCTCCTGCTCTCTGCCTGCCCCAGGCTCAGCCCCATGACATCACAGGAGCTATTTGGAGGTCTTGCTTGAGGCCACAGGCTTCTAGGTCCTGGGACCTCAGCAGTGAGCCAACACTGGGAGGCAGGAGCCCCTCGGAGCTCACATTCCACAGAGGGGAAGAAAGGAGAGAGGGGCGGGGCTGGGGAGGCGAGGCTGTGCCAGGTATGAAGCAGCAAGTGTGAGCACCCTGGGGTGGGGAGGGTGCGGCGTTGGAGTCAGCTCCCATCCTGGGTCTGGGATGGGGTGGGCAGGGCCTGGTCAGGCGAGCTGGAGACAGCGCCTGCGGACTTTATCCCAGTGTGGGAGGCACCCCCTGGTGGCTCAGAGCAGGAAGTGCTGGGCCTCTGTGGGCATGCATGCTGCCCGAGGGCCTGTCCGTGCCCCAGGCTTCTGAAAGATCCATGTATCTTCCCCCGCATCTTTGGGAAGCTACAAGGGGTGTGATCCTTCCAAATCTCTGCAGGGTTCTCCCCCAGGCCGCAGAGCAGCAGGAACCCCGGAGCTGGGTTCCACTTCCCCTGGGGCTGGCCGGCCGACGGGCCTCAGGGCTCCTGGAAGTTGTCAGTGTCTGGGAACACGGGGCAGGCTGCTGGGTGAGCCTCCAGGTCACAGGCCACGTGTGCTCTAGCACTGGGGAGTCAGGAAGGCGACCGTGGGAATGGAGGTCCCCAGTCATGGTAGTGGAGCCGGTTCTGTGATGGCCCCGAGGGCAGGGGCTTCAGGCCACGAGTGAGCCCAGTCTGCATGCCGTCTCCCCGCTCTCTGAGACTATTATGAAAGCTGTTCTTGTTAAAAATGCGTGGGAGGGCCTGGTGCCGCGGCACAGAGGGTTAAACCAATACCCGCTGGCTTCCCATATGAGCACTGGTTCGAGTCCCAGCTGCTCCATTTCTGATCCAGTTTGCTGCTAATGTGCCTGGGAGAGCATCAGAGGATGGTCCAAGCGCTTGGGCCCCTGTCACCCACGTGGGAAACCAAGGTGGATTTCCTGGCACCTGGCTTTGGCCTGGCCCAGCTCCTGCCATTGTGGCCATTTGGGGAGTGACTGGTGGATAGAAGATCTTTCTCTCTCTCTGACTTTCTCTGTCACTCTGCCTTTCAAATAAATAAATCTTAAAAAAATAATTGTGGGGGCTGGCACCATGGTTAATCCTCTGCCTGTGGTGCTCACATCCCATATGGGCGCCGGGTTCTAGTCTTGGTTGCTCCTCTTCCAGTCCAGCTCTCTGCTGTGTCTTGGGAGGGCAGTGGAGGATGGCCCAAGTATTTGGGCCCTGCACCCGCATGGGAGACCTGGAAGAAGCACCTGGCTCCTGGCTTCAGATCGGCGCAGCTCCAGCTGTAACGGCCATTTGGGGGGTGAACCAATGGAAGGAAGACCTTTCTCTCTGTCTCTCTCTCTGTGTCTGTAACTCTATCTGTCAAATAAAAAAATTGTGTTGGCAAGGCCGGCGCCGCGGTTCAATAGGCTAATCCTCCACCTAGCGGCGCTGGCACCCCGGGTTCTAGTCCTGGTCGGGGTGCCGGATTCTGTCCCGGTTGCCCCTCTTCCAGGCCAGCTCTCTGCTGTGGCCAGGGAGTGCAGTGGAGGATGGCCCAAGGCCTTGGGACCCTGCACCCCATGGGAGACCAGGAGAAGCACCTGCCTCCTGCCTTTGGATCAGCGTGGTGCGCCAGCCGTGGCGGCCATTGGAGGGTGAACCAACGGCAAAGGAAGACTTTCTCTCTGTCTCTCTCTCTCTCACTGTCCACTCTGCCTGTAAAAAAAAAATTGTGTTGGCAATGAACCCTAGGTTGAGGATTCGGTTAGGGTTAGGTTGCCTTGGTAACAGGACCACTGCCCTAGGTTGCTGCATTTATCCAGGGCCCACTGGGTCTCAGGCCCAGTGCTGGCCACGACGTGGTCATGTAGTAACTGAAACACCGACTCTTACATCCTGGGGTCACCTGGCCTCTGACCTGCATTGTCTCCACACAGCCTGCAAGCTGGTGGGGTCATCCCATTTTACAGCTCAGCAACAGGCGACCAAGAGCATCACTGGTTTGCATCAGCACAGCCAGCAGGGGGCAGAGCTGAGCCGTAGAGGGGGAGGGGCACTCTTAGCTGTGAGTCACGGGACGTCTTCCTGGATGTGTCCTTGCCAACCCCCAAAGTCTGTGGGGGCTCGGCTTGCCTCCGCCAGTGGAAGGGTTAGGTGAGACCACCTCTCGGCCCCTCTGGCTCTGAGCGTCCCACACAGCCCCGTGCGTTCTGCGCTGTGGCACAGGGAGCCAGGTCCTGTCTCCCCTGCAGACCTGCACTGGCTGACCATCGTCCTGTCCTGCGTCGGCCGCATGGGGGCCACCATTGTGCTGCAGATGATCTGCCTGGTGAACGCTGAACTGTACCCCACGTTCGTCAGGTAAGCGTGCCAGTGGGGGGGCCAGGCGGGCACCCCAAGGACCCACATCTGTGCATCGGTTCCTCACCATGCCCCGAGGGGTGCTGGTTTGGGGGTGTTGGGATAGTTACACGGATTTTTCTGGTTGAACACCCCGAATCCCCAAATCTGAATCCCGAGATCCACCGCCATGTTGTCTCAGGTCAGGGTCATGTTCAGATCGGGGACACTCAAGCTGCGTGACCTTGAACTCTTCTTTCCTTGGCACAAGTTGCGTCTGTACCCTCTGTCATCCTACCGATGGTTCCTAAGAGACACTGCGGCGTCCCGATCCCACTGCCCGCCCTGAGCCACGCCCATTCTTTCCCCTCATCAGAGGCCGCGTCTCTGACTCTCCGTTGTAAGACGTTGCTTGGACTGAGCACAAAGAGAGGGAGGCCGGGTACAGAGAAAGCCTTCCCCTGCCGCAGTTCTGAGGCCAGAGACTGAAACACCTGTGCCCAGCTGTCCTGTGGTCACCGCCCCCGGACCCAGGTGTTGAGTGCTTGGTCCTCCACCGAGAGGGGTCGGGTCGCCCGTCCCCGAGGGCCCCGGGACAAACCTCTCGGTCACTAGGAAGGAAAGCTTAGGTGCTCAGAAAGAACCTTCACGCACACGCACGCATGCAGGTGCAAGAGTGGGACAGTGAAATTCCAGTGTGTGAATCAGTGGAACGAAATCCAAGCCGCGGAGAAGGGGCGCGCGTACTGCCGGTTCCCGAGTTTAGAATCACTGCCAGTTCCAACGATCGATGTGTAAACCCGGCTGCCCCGCGGGAGGCTCCGGAAGCTCCCCTCCCTCTGTCGGCACCCTCCTGTGGCGTGAATGCGCACGGCCTCGCCCTGGAAATCATGTCTGTTACACAGCAGCGCTCGCTTCCGGGGAGCAGGAACCACCCTATGGGCCTCCTCGTGTGCCTTGTGCCACCGCCACCGCGTGGTCACCCGGCCCAGCCCCCGGAATGACTGGAGGGACACAGCCATCTGAATTTGAATAAGAGGACAAGACACCCTTTCCAGCCCCGCCATTCACTTATCAGCTCTTTTCTTTTGTAACACTTATTTTCTCAAAGTAGTAAAAAAAAAAAAAAAAACCAAAAAACCCTAGTGCTTTTCTCGCTCTTCTTGGAAGTCACACGGAAGCTGCTAGAAGAATGAGAACTGCGAAGGCCGTCTTCACAGCTCTGTGCACCCAGAAGAGGGTGCGCGAGAGGAGGGACTGCCACGAGCAGTGAGCTCGCAGAGGGTCCGGGCGGGGGCGGAGCCCAGAAGGACCCTGGGGCAGCCTGGCGTCTGGAGGCCAGCAGGGTCCCCTGGCAGCCTGCACAGCTTGGGGACCGCCGCTGGGACCTCTTGTTTGGAGTGGCCATGTGAGCGCCCTGCCCCCGCTGGGGCACGGCTCAAGGTGGAGCAGAGAAGCGGGGGCTGGCACAGTAAACCCGCGGGGAGTGTTCAGACGGCTGGGGACGGGGAGTGGCAGACCCCCAGCACTTGGGCCGCACAACCCTGGCCAAACAGGGAACGGGAAGAAATCGCAGTCAGCCCATGTGAATAAGTCACTCGGGAGCCCTACAAACGTATCAGGAGAAAGAAGAGGATTTCTTACCAAGAGACGCAGCCCAACCTCCCACCACGAACGCAGGATGCGTGTGGACCAGTCTCCTCGCAGAATCAGTGCAGAGCGGAGAGACTGAGCGACAGGGCACAGGAGGGGGCGCAGGGGGCGCAGGAACAAAGCAAACAAGGACAAACGTTTGGGAAGGGAAAGCCGGCTTTAAAACGGGACCAGGGAGAACGGAAGCGGTGAAGGAGAGGCCAGACGAAATGATCTCAGGACAACCAGCGCGATACATGTGTCCACAGCTTCTTGGTTAATAGCAGTAACGTGCTCATCGGCCCTTGCAACAGTTAGAAAGGCTTAGATGTGTTGTAATAATAACTATTCATGTTGACGTATATAATAGACAGTGTTCCTACGTTATTATTCACAATAATATTAGTAATACCAAGTCGACCCCTAGAGCTTAACCAAGAGCTCCCCTGACAAGCCTTCCCTGGGTGCTGCCCCCGAGGGTCGCTCAGGCTGTTGAGGCGATGATTCGGTGGGCCCAAGTCACAGGTGCCGAGCGGTCAGACGCCCCTCCGGGCTTGGCCCCGTTCCCAGTCCGAGGTGAGCCTGGAGCCTGCCAGACCCAGTCACCCCCAGGGGCAGCAAGTGACAGCCCTGGGACAGGCCCGGGGCAGAGCTGGGTGTCGGAGCGGGGAGCACCCATGTCTGCAGCCGTCACCAGTTCCTGCAGGACCCCACAGCCCGAGAGCCGAGCCCTGACTTGCGGTCGGAGGCAGGCTGTCTCGCTCAGCTGCGCAGTGCTGGCCCTGGGACACAGTCAGTGCCTGGGCAGTCACAGGCTGCACTCTGTCTGTCCCATGTGTCTGAGCAGGAACCTTGGGGTGATGGTGTGTTCTGCGCTATGCGACGTCGGCGGCATCATCACCCCCTTCATGGTCTTCCGGCTGATGGAGGTCTGGCAGCCTTTACCGCTCATTGTTTTCGGTAAGCGTCCCCTCTTCCTGGGCTCTCGGCAGCTGTGGGTTGAGTGGATGATGTGCCCAGCAGGGTTACGGAAGCAAGGGTGGTGCCTGGCTCCGTGCCATCCGGCGTCCTGGGAAAGAGGTGGCCGGAGGTTTCCGTTCTGGGCGCTGAGATGGCGTTGTTCACCTTTGACGTAGTTTCCTGCCTTCTGTGAATTTGGTTTCCAACCCTTGTACATTATTTTTTTTTAAGATTTACTTATTTATTGGAAAGTCAGAATGAGAGGGGGAGGAGACCACGTGTATATTGGCGGTGCTCTCTGTCCCTGTGCTAAATTCGTATCTGTCCGTCCACGCACTCGTCTCTCCATTGGCTGGTGGACCACAATGAGGCAGAGCTGGTCTCGGGTTGTTCTTGAGGTGCCTGAATGAACAAACCCGCTACCTCCACCAGGCCAGCCGACTGTGGCCTTTCCACTTGCGTGGGAATGAAATGGAGACAACGCTTCCTCTGCAGACGCTCCCGCTGCCCCCATCTCCTTAGTGCTCTTACAACTCCTTTTTCTTTTTAAAAATTATTTTTTTTATAAGTCAGAATTACAGAGAGAGGGAGAGAGAGCAAGCTTCCATCTGCTGGTTCGCTCCCCAGATGTCTGTAATGGCCGGGGCTGGGCCAGGCTGAAGCCAGGAGCCAGGAGCTTCTTCCAGGTCTCCTACACGGGTGCAGGGGCCTAAGGACTTGGCTTTCCCAGGCCACAGCAGAGAGCTGGATCAGAAGTGGAGCAGCCGGGGCTCCATCTGGTGCCCGTATGGGATGCCGGCACTGCATCCACTGCACCACAATGCTGGCCCCGCAACCTCTTATTTGTCTATCTATGTATCTATCTATGTATCTATCTATGTATCTATCTATGTATCTATCTATGTATCTATCTATGTATCTATGTCTCTCTCTCTCCCTCTCTCTCTCTCTCTCTCGTCTGTCCCCATGCGCTGTCCGGACGTCTTGGCTAGCTGCAGACATTTCTGCCAGTGGAGTTGGCTGTGTCCCACACGCAGTTCTGTTTCATCTGAAGGAGTGCTGGGGCTGCTTGCGGGGGGAATGACCCTGCTGCTTCCAGAGACCAAGGGCGTGGCGCTGCCGGAGACCATCGAGGACGCCGAGAACCTCCGGAGGTGAGGCCCTGGGGTGCTGGGGGGTGGAGGGGTCACGCCTGCCCCACAGAGGGGTCATGCCTGCCCTGTGGGGGGTCACTCCTGCCCTGTGAGGGGTCATACCTGCCCCGTGGGGGGTCACTCCTGCCCTGTGGGGGAGTCACTCCTACCTTGTGGGGGGTCACTCCTACCCTGTGGAGGGGTCACACTGGCCCTGTGAGGGGTCACTCCTGCCCTGTGGGGGGGTCACACCTGCCCTGTGGGGGGTCACACTGGCCCTGTTGGGGGGGGTCACTCCTGCCCTGTGGGGGGGGTCACTCCTGCCCTGTGAGGGGTCACTCCTGCCCTGTGGGGGCGTCACACCTGCCCTGTGGGGGGTCACACTGGCCCTGTTGGGGGGGTCACTCCTGCCCTGTGGGGGGTCACTCCCTGTGAGGGGTCACTCCTGCCCTGTGGGGAGGGGTCACTCCTGCCCTGTGAGGGGTCACTCCTGCCCTGTGGGGGGTCACGTCCCCATGTGGTGCTGGGCGGGGCAGTCACACCGGCCCCATGGAGAGACACAGTGACACTGCACGCCCTCCATTTTCTCTGTGGTAGAGCTTAGCGCTTTGCAGACACTTGTACGTGGCTCAGCCTAGACTCCTGTGTGTGGTGCTGACTGCACCGGTGCCCAGGTGGCACCCGGAGTTGGCAGCTCTGAGTGGGGACAGATCCGTCTCTGTCCCCGTGGAGTTGTTGCTCCCGGTCCTGCAGGGGCTTGGTCTTCCTGTGCCAGCGCTCTCGTGGCGCTCCCGGCTCTGCTCCTACAATGGAGGAGGAAAGGCAGGACGAGCTGTTTCGCAGCTCCGCGGGGTCCCCGCTCAGCATGGCCCTGTGGGGTGGCCCCAGAAGGGCCCGGGTTTCACTCCAGACCTGGCCCTGGGACTTGGAACGTCGCTGAACCCTGTGGACCTTGAATGTCCTTGCCCGCAAAGTGACCGCACTTATCCTGAATGTGGATGGTCGCTGTGACAATTCAAGGAGCAAAAGCGGGTGACAGTGGCTCGTCTGTTGCCAGGCACGTAGCAGGTGTCCAACAAATCTTAGCTTTCTCCTTCCTCACTGCAAACTGGGTGATTTCCACAGTATTCTGCAAACTTAGCGTGCGGAAGAAATCACAGAAGAAAACTGCAGAGGAAGCGTCCTTGGTCTGTACTTAGAAAATGGAGGTGGGGGCCCAGGCATCTGTCGTAGCGACCTCTGCCCACGGTGCCCACCTGGCTGAGCGCCCAGTAAACATCACCTTGAGAGACTTGGGGTTTCTCAGTCCCAATGAGGCACCGACACTCCGCTGGGCCTGTGAAGACCCCTTCTGCTGGCCAATGGTTTGAGTCCGAGTGGGGGACAGATTTGCCAGTGTTCTGTCACGGATGTGTAGGTGTCGTTATGCAGGGTAAGATCCCTCAGCTGAGAAGCTGAGCTGCTGTGAGCACCAACCTGAAGCTCCAAAGAATTCAGAGTTTTCTGAGGGGGGCTGCTCGGCAGGGAAGGTCTATGCAGATCTCCCCAAGTCTGAAAAAGTCCCAAGTCTAGAATAGCTCGGGTCACCCGTGTTTTGGACAAGGTCGCATCAACCTGCAATTTAACGGGGTCACGGTCACCTTTTACGAGGCCCTGTGTGTTGGCTTCTTCATCATTGTGAGCGTTTCTGCCCTTCTGGGGCGGGGCAGTGCCCCCACCCTCTGCCCCTCACCCCACACCTGCTCTTCACACCTGGTGAGAATCCTGTCTCCTCTCTGCCAACTCCGCGGGAGTCCCCGGCTCCTCCAGGAGAGATCACCTCTGTGGCTCCTGCTCCTGCACTTGTGGGGAGAAGGGCAGAGAATGGGGGTCCTAGTGGCACTAGCTGACCTCGCCGAGGGCTGACGGGGGGCCAGCTGCGCTGGTGGCGCTTGGTGGCTTCCCCAGCATCCTCTCAGGACACCGTGGGGCAGCTCCTCCTGCGAATGAAGGGAAGCATGGCAGGTGCTTCCAACGTCACCAGATTCCAGATGCTGGTGGGGCCACAGCATTGTCCCTGCTCCACCTTGGCCAGGCCTCGGGGCCACGCCGTCTGTCTGGGTGGCTCCTGTATCATACCGAGGCTCTGGGTGTGTCTGGGTGCCAGTGGCATTTTATATAAAGGCATTGACATTTGAATTTCATTTAAATGTTGAAATCTCAGGAAATATTCCCACTTGGATTGTTTTCCCGCTATTTAAAACCGTGAGAAACTGTTCTTGGTACACAAGCTGCCCCCAGCAGGGCCCTCGGGCTGGTTCTGTCGACCTGGTCTCTATGGTGTCTGCCGACCCGGTTTCTATGGTGTCCGCTGACCCGGTCTCTATGGTGTCTGCGCTCCTGCCTTCTCGTTCTGTTCTCAGCCTGACGCCCACGTGTGACTTTGCCCCCGGTCCCTAACCACAGCGCGGTTACTTACCGATTCTCATTTTTCTTTGTGGTCGCCGCAGGAAAGCAAAGCCCAAAGAAAGCAAGATTTACCTCCAGGTGCAAACGTCGGAACTCAAAGGCCCCTAAGACAGCAGAGAGAAGAGAGAGAAGACCCCGGAGCTGTCGGCTGGGGAACTGGGGCTCCCTTTCCTGTCTCCTCCGCGCTCACCTGCCCCACATTCAGCAAATCCTACGGCATTCTCTCTCTCTCTTTCTTTCTTTTTCTTTTTCTTTTTTCTTTCTTTCTTTTTTTGGTGGGGGCTTGGCCTTATTTTGTTTTATTTTGCTCAAGTCCTCCAGCGTGTGGCTGTCTTTGATCTGCTTCCTGTTCCAGTGGGACTGGTGGCGTGCAGTTACCCCAGGGTTCTGAAGACGGAGTAGAACTCACCCACTGGCCTCTGTGAGCTGGTTTTCTGGAACGATGATTTTATTCACTCACTGGGCAAAACGCTCTTACGACTGGAGGCACCTGTGTTGGCAAAAGCGTTCCACCGTGGAGATTCCTTGGGTTTTAAAGACGGCGGCTCTGTCAGCGGATGGCCTCCCAGTCATGTTCAAATATGAGTGCAAGTGGCAGGAAAGATGTGGTCCTTTCCCGAAGGCCCAAGGCACCGTGGCCGCTTTAGACAAGAACTTTCTGCCTGCTGTGTCCCGGGCACCTCTCTCTGTGGCTCGCTTGCTCCCCCCCCGTCCCGTCTTGGTTCTTGGTGGTGGTTCTGGAAGGTGAATGAATGTCCCAGCTGTGCACTGCGGTCAGTACATGGAAGAGGTCCCTTTGCTCTGAGCTGTGTGCTTCCTGGAGCCTGTGCAGTGGTTTCGAGAGACTTCTTGGACAAGTTCCCTTACCTGTGAGACAAACCAGAAGGGGTGTGCAGTCTCCCGAGAGGAACTCTTCTGGAACACGGCGCTTCCCAGCTGGACCCCGGCTCAGCTGCAGAACCCCCTCCCAGGAGAGGAGCCTGTGTAGTCCCTGGTTATCCTCCGTCACTGTCACGGTCGCGGGCTGAGTGATTTCTAAAGAATAAAGGTTGATTTCGGTCCTGGCTGAGCAGGTGGAGACGAGGGCCTTCGGGCCTCCTAGCTCAGGTGTCTCCTCTTAAAGAGCCACAGTGGCCTCACTGAACCTTAATTACCACCCCAGGTCCACCTCCAAGTACCGGGGTCAGCTTTGGTGTCCAGCCTCCTGGCGCCGCACAGCGAGGTTGAATGTCAGCGTGACTTTTGGTGGTGATGCCACCACCTGGCATCCTTAAATACAAGAGGAAGCGTTTTTAGCCTCTGACCCTCAGAGGGGAGGGAACCCTCTCCGTCCCCTCTGCTTCCCTCCTGGAGGGGGGGGGACGCCTTGGTAAACACGAGGTCACAGGTGCCACGTGCTCCTTGGCAGGTCCCTGCGCGGTTTAGTGGCTGTCTGAGGAGCCCTGGCCAGTGACATCAGGTGGATTCTTAGCTGGAGAGTCCACAAGGGCTGTTCCGTGAGCCGAGGAGAGACTGAGAAGTGGAGGTGGTGACGCGTGGCCCACATTCCCTTGGCTTTGCATCAGATGCCAAAGACGTGGTCCAGGCTGCTGTAGCCATCACCCCCTTTCCTGGCCCGGAAGGGCATTCCCCCTCCCCCCACCCCGTGTCCCAGCTCTGCGGCTTTGCCAACCATGGCCGGCATTTCCTTTCTCGCTCTAAGCACTGGGCTCTGTGGCCTGCTGTCCTGAGGCTGTTTCCATTCCACCTGCTCGGCTGTCCCGGGCCCGTGCTCAGTGTGGTTATTGAAACCTAGACTTGCTCTTCATTAAAAAGAGCTCTTTAGGGGCCGGCACTGTGGTGTAGCAGGTAAAGCCACCGCCTGCAGTACTGCGTCTCATAGGGGCACTGGTTCAAGTCCTGGCTGTTCTACTTCCGATCCAGCTCTCTGCTGTGGCCCGGGATAGCAGTAGATCTCGCAAGTCCTTGGGCCCCTGCACCTACTGGGAGACCCGGAAGAAGCTCCTGGCTCCTGGCTCCGGATTGGCAGAGCTCCGGCTGTTGTGGCCATTTGGGGAGTGAACCAGCGAATGAAAGACTTTCTCTCTCTCTCTGCCTCTCCTTCTCTCTTTGTGTAACTCTAACTTTCCAATAAACAAATAAATCTTTAAAAAAATAAAAACAATGAAGAGCTCTTTAAACCTCCATGGCTGAACCACAGAAGGTTCCTGAGCCGCCTTTTTTGCTTTTAGTCCTAATTCGGACATTTTAGCCAAACGTCTTGCAAATGTTTGTCATTTTGCCCCCATCCAGTCCTCATAAAAATTGGCCGTGTCATTTTCCCGGATGTCGTCATCCTGTTGGGCCTGTGCCAGCTCGTGAAGGTGGATTTGGGGGGGTGGGGGGCTGGATTTTGCTTGTGACTGTGGCCAGAGTGGCCCCTCACCGAGGCAGCTTTTCCAAACGTCGCCTCCACCCGAGCCTGGAGCTCGCTGCCCGTGTCCCTTTCTGCCTCTCATTGAGCACCTGCCGTGTGCACCAGAAACTGTTAGACAAAGGGGATTCAACAGTGAAAAACCAAGGCAAACACAGAAAGGACAAACCCTCTGCCCTCCGGGAAATTTCCTCCCAGAGGGGCAGGAGAGCAAGCCTGGAAGAGCAGTGAGCAGCCGGAGCTGGCGAGTGCCGAGCAGGCAGAAGGGATGACGGCTGCCAGGGTCTCGGTGACTTTGAGCGGCTCCTGTGACATCTGGGCTTGGACCCTGGGGCTCAGAGCCCCTGCCTGGGCCGCGGGGACCTCGGCCCCATGGGAAGACTGAAGGTGTGAGCAGACGGGCCTTCTGGGAAGAGGAGAGAACAGGTAACAGGTTGAGAGCAGAGTCCGGGTGGGAAGGAAGAACGGAGAGACTGCAGAATGAAGCTTTGGGAAATCGCTGAGCACGGCTGCTGGCGTGGCCCGAGTCAGCCCGAGCTCATCATTGAGCTGCGACTTGGGCGAAACCCTGAGCTCTCTTGTGCATCCCGACTTAAGATGCCTGCCGGAAATAAGCCGGGAGCTCCGAGGGGCTCCAGTTCAGCAGCTGCCACGCCCGCTCCTGTCTCTCTGAGGAGGGAGGGTGAGAGGGAGGGTACCCTTTTCCTCTTCTCTTGTTTGCATCGGGGAGGGGGAGTTCCACCTCACTCCCAGGAGGGATGAACGCTGGGAGGATGATACCAGCTGCCCTGGACCAGGCCAAACTCAGGGACAGCAGGGTTTGCAAAAGGAGAGAGTTATTGTCACTCGTGTGGCCAGCACAGGAGGTAAGGGCTTTGGCTCCAGACTGCCTCCCTGCTGGCCTAGAGAAGGGATTCGCATGGAAGAAGAGGCTGGGGGCACTCAGGAAGGGCCCCGCGCTGCAGGTGTGTCTTTGTCTTTGCTGCGCGCGTGCAGAGGCCGGCGTGGCCCGGCCTTGTGACGCGTAGGCTGGGGAGGCAGTAGCGCATCCCTGCATCGGAGCCTCGGCCACGGTTGTTCTGTCCTGAGCCATGCACTGCTGCCACGAAGACGAAGCATTTCTCTCCGAGGAAAACAGCTTGCCGCCGGATGGCAACAGGGCTGGAGACTTGGAGAGGAAGGAAGCAGGGGTCTTCGGCGGGAGGTGGGCAGCGGCTGAGGGGCGGGTTTGCCTGTGTTAGCCGGGAAGGCGCTCAAGGGAGGAGCTGGGGGCTTTTTCACTTGGAGGATTCTGTTGCGGTGTTCTGGTAGACACTTGGAGATGGCCGTCCCAGTCCTCTATGTGGTGACAGCTCCAGGTCACCGTGACATCCCCGCACCCCACGCTGTTGGATGGCTCACAGCCTGCGTGTGCCCAGCTATTATGTAACTGCTGGAGGATTTTCTTTTTTAAAGAAGACAGATGAAGATTTATAAAGCTTTAGATAAAGTAATTGGGAGGAGGAGCTCAAACATGGTGTATCGAATTAATAAAGTTCTCTCCTGCGAGGGAATTACGAAGAGGAGAAGAAAACTTGATAGTTTAGATAAAGAAAAAAAATTATTTTCTCTTGAGAACATGCTACTCAAGGACTTGGTAAAATTGGCTTAGTGGAAAACCAGCCAGTGTCGGTGACTTCGAAGGTTCCCCCTGGCTCGCTCACCCTTGGTGATGGGACTGTTTCCAACAGGGCTGCTACACACACGTGCACACACACACACATACACGCACATTTTAGTCTCTAATGCATAATTGGCTAAAAAAAAAAAAACAAACTTAGGGCTGGCGTTGCGATACCAGCATCGCATATTAAAAGAAGCCAGTTTGAGCCACAGCTGTCCCACTTCTGCTCCGGCTCCTGCTAAGGCTCCTGGGAAAGTAGTGGAAGTTGGCCTAGTGATTTGGCCCCTGTCACCCACGTGGGAGACCCGGATGGAGTTTTGAGTTCCTGGCTTCAGCCTGGCTCAGCCCTGGCTGTTGTGGCCATCTGGGGAGTGACCAGTGGTGGACGGGCTCTCTTCTCTCTCTGTCTCTCCCTCTCTCTCTCTGTCACTCTGCTTTTCAAACGAATAGATGGATGATCTTAAAAAAGGGGTTCTAAGAAGGGTTGCTGGCCAGCGCCGTGGCTCACTAGGCTAATCCTCCGCCTGCGGTGCTGGCACCCCCAGTTCTAGTCCCAGCCAGGGCGCTGGATTCTGTCCCGGTTGCCCCTCTTCCAGGCCAGCTCTCTGCTGTGGCCTGGGAGTGCAGTGGAGGATGGCCCAAGTGCTTGGGCCCTGCACCCCATGGGAGACCAGGAGGGAGCACCTGGCTCCTGGCTTCGGATCAGCGCAGCGCAGGGTGTAGCAGCCATTTGTGGGGTGAACCAACGGAAGGAAGACCTTTCTGTCTCTCTCTCTCACTGTCTAACTCTGCCTGTTTAAAAAAAAAAAAAAAAAAGAAGGGTTGCTGTGACTCTGGGCACAAGAAAAAGGTCAAGGAAATGTTTTTTCCAGAGAGTGAGGGCTCTCAGGGATGTTGAGGGCAGTGTCAAAAAAGATGCCTAAATATGGAGGCTTCCCAGGGGCTAAGCAGAGAGAGTTCCAGCATCATAAAGACAGTGCGTAGAGTTCATTGGAACAAGCTGGGCCTATAAAAAGAGGCAGAGGCCCACAGTCGGACTCCAGGGAACAGGGACTAGGAGGAGTGCCAAGGAGCAAGCACACTGGAGTTCCCCGGGAGGTTTACGAGCTGCTCGGATAATTGGACACAGCCCGCGCCAGGTCTCCACACGAGAGTCACAGCCACGTTCACGGCCGCAGACTGGAACCAGATGGAGCGGGCAATCACTCAAGTATGCTGGAAGAGGCACAAATGTCTTCGGTTTGTTCATTTGCATTTGAAATATTCTGGCCATGCAGAAGTCAAGGGACCTAGGAGCCAAGAGCAAACCCTTCAGGAACTCAGCTGACACAGAGGACCGTTGCTTTGGGACACAGACCGTGAGCCAGCTTGGCTCACATGGGAGACATGGCCTGTGCAGGGGTGGGGGCTGGCAGCTAAAGGGCACTCTGGGACCCCGGACGTCACCCTAACCACGACTCACAACTCCCATGTGCAGTGGCTGTTGGGCAAGTGTGGTTTATGCGCTGGGCAGAAATAGGTACAGAACTCTTCATGGCTGCTTTAAATGATGAGAAGAATGGTGTTTTAAAAGGACACAAGTTCCTAGTTCCTGCTGAGAAACTGGAGAACACATTTTCAACCAGAATTCTAAAGGAAATTATGGTCATGGCCAGGTATCTGCCAGGGACGCCAAATCCCAAACTGCTCCAAGTCCCGGATGTGAAATGGCACAGCGCTTGCCCGGAACCTGTGTGCGGCCTCCTGGAGACTTGAAATCCTCTCTGAGTTACTGGTAACACTGAACACTGTGTGAACAGGTGTTAGCTGTGTGGTGCAGGGATAACAGGAAAACCCTCTGCACGTGTGTAGTACAGAAGAAACCAAACTCTCGCCAGCCCCACAACGTGGCGCACGTCAGCAATGGCGGGCGCTTCTGATCCACGGCTCCTTGGTTCCCATCTGAATGTGCAGTCCGTGGATACAAAGAGCTGGCTATGTGTGGA